AGATGTAATCAAGGCAGCAAAGTCCACAAGCTTCTTTACCAAAATGTTCAACTTCCTCAAAAAGCGTATAATCGTTTGTTATAATCATCATAAAGCCGACAGCCCGCAGATCCCACTGCACATGTGTGGAAGGGGATGACATTCAGTTGTTGTTGTTGTTGTTGTTTTCTTAAGTCAATGCTTCACTGTTGTCTGTCTCACAGCTGGCCAAGGCTTACGGGATGGATTTCTTTGAGAGATATTTAGTTGTGATGATTCATTGACGTGTTACTGAACTTTATGAACTGCCAGTTTTTAACAGACCTCACACTTATTAATATACGTTTCACTGTTCACCCCCCACGAGTGAGTGAATGTGTTTGTTTGTGGGGCTTCTGATTTTCACTAATGTGAATCCAATATTATCTCTTTCTGGCTGCAACTTACAAAACAAAAAAACAAACCTCTTCCTTTGACATTCCATGTTTTATTTCCTTTTGGTATGTTTAAATGACAATAATATCACATTATCAAGGGTATGAAATATGTGTTTGAAAGTTAGATTTGAAGCTTGATATTGACAAAAAGGGGAGTTCTGGTGCTCGATTTAGGGGTTTAAACTCTGACAGATTCTGACAGTGGCAACGACGTAAAGCAGATTGTCTTCTTGTAACCGATGTTTTTTGTTTGTCCCTGCAGGTAAGGTGGTCCACGCAGAGACCACGGTGGCTCACGCCGTGCTGAACGGGAAGCAGTATTACCGTCAGGACTGGGTTCATGCTGCCGCCCACGTTGTCGTCCCTCCTCTCCGCCTCGACCCCAACACGCCAGGCTACCTCATGGGCCTGCTGGGAAAGTATGTGCTCAGTACAAAGTGGGACGTGCTCCTAAAATACAGCAGTGATATCAAAGATGTAGGAGGGTCGATGCTTAGTGATGATTTGGACCAATAACATTCATCTTGTTTCCAGCGACTCTCTGAGTGTTGTGGCATCAGAGCACCGTCCATTTAGCATCAAGCAGAGGGCTTTGGGCAAAGACGACTTCACAAAGATCCCTCACGGAGTGGCTGGAGTCCAGGACAGGATGAGTGTCATTTGGGAGAGGGGAGTGGTACGTACAAACACACGCACACATGTACACATATACACACTTAAGCTGTAAACCTGCTCGTGCTTATTATGTAGCGTGCATCCCAGGAAGGATCCATGTAGAATCGTATTAGATACCATTAATACTAAAATAGCTTTGGAAAAAAATGCTTGGTTTTATTTTGTATTACTGGTCCACAAGTCCACCACTGTCTCCTCAGTGTCAATTTGTGTTTTCATTGGCTTATGGTTACTGCATTAATTTAATAACAAGCCGAAGAAATAATGTACACACATTTGCATTGCTTTGACCAAGGAGCCAAGCCAAGCACAACAAAATGCATAATAAAGGGTGAAATGCAACAACGTTCCTTGTCTTAAAGCGGTGATCGGTCGTAGCTCTGTTGGTATCTTGTCCACTCACACCTAAATGTTCTATGATAAACTATTCAGCATTTCGGTGAGGAGCCGCTGGTCTCAGCAATCAACAGGCCCCAGGTCAGAATTTATTGAATATTTGCACTTTCTCTGTGTACTTCACTTACACTACTCTAATCACTGAGAAATAGATTTGCTAAAAGTGTTTTAGGTTTATTACAGCAGTGTGTAAGTGGTACAAACAGAATTCCGTCATATGCAACATGTGTGTTTCATATGGTAACAAAAGATGGTTTTGTTAAATTGGTGTATAGTTTTTCATTTTGCAATGGATCTGAGGTGTTTTGCTCATTGGGTGTGTGGTTGTGCTAATTGTGTGAGTGAAATGAAAAACAGAACAAAGCAGTCAAAATTGTGTTTAAGCAATCGAGAAAAACTGTAATATGACATATGACATAATAAGCACGAGCAGGTTTACAGCTTAAGTGTGTGTATGTGTACATGTGTGTTTGTACGTACCACTCCCCTCTCCCAAATGACACTCATCCTGTCATCGCCTTAAATGGAGTAATTGCACGTGCAATTAGAACCAAAAACAAACAACAAATAAGAAATGTGAGCCTTATTTACAGTTTTTCTCGATTGCTTAAACACAATTTTGACTGCTTTGTTCTGTTTTCCATTTCACTCACACAATTAGCACAACCACACACCCAATGAGCAAAACACCTCAGATCCATTGCAAAATGAAAAACTATACACCAATTTAACAAAACCATCTTTTGTTACCATATGAAACACACATGTTGCATATGACGGAATTCTGTTTGTACCACTTACACACTGCTGTAATTCTGACCTGGGGCCTGTTGATTTCTGAGACCAGCGGCTCCTCACCGAAATGCTGAATAGTTTATCATAGAACATTTAGGTGTGAGTGGACAAGATACCAACAGAGCTACGACCGATCACCGCTTTAAGACAAGGAACGTTGTTGCATTTCACCCTTTATTATGCATTTTGTTGTGCTTGGCTTGGCTCCTTGGTCAAAGCAATGCAAATGTGTGTACATTATTTCTTCCAACCTAACAATCCATAGGCTCGTATTTCCCGTCAACAACAATCCCATTTACACTTACTACCCCGTAAGTGTAAAAAAAAAAGTGTTTAATGAAATTATCAATCCCAAATTCTATTTGAGAACACGTTCATCTTTTCCCCAACGGCTGATTTACTATGTGAACACAGAAAATAATAAGCATAAGTAAAAACATCCAGTTGAATCGTTGCGTTATTTTGCTGGCCGTTGTTGCTCAGCAGTGAATAAATACACCTGCAGCCATTCTTGTGCAAATGCGGCGTACACCTGCTCACCTGCTCTCTCCGTCCAGTCAAAGGAGCCCACTAAGCAGACGCTTGGACACATGCACATTCAAATGTCTGGTTTTGCGTGTTTACCTTGTTGGGGATGGTGACGGCTCTGTGAGTAGCCTCAGACTCCAGCTGTAGACAACAAGACTGAACGCTTTTAATAAGCTCTCACTAGAAATTCATATTTCAGTTCTTTTGCTGTCCAAAGAAAAACTACAGTATGTGTGTGTGTTCTGTATATTTCTCCTTAAGGGAATTAACATTTCACCGTAGAACATTTTGTGCATCTACATCCAGCCAGTTTAAACCCCTAAATCGAGCACCACAACTCCCCTTTTTGTCAATATCAAGCTTCAAATCTAACTTTCAAACACATATTTCGTACCCTTGATAATGTGATATTATTGTTATTTAAGCATACCAAAAGGAAATAAAACATGGAATCCAAACAAGGTCATGACTAAACGTGATAATGAATAATCTTTGATATTAATTTACCTCTTCTGGTCGACTTATTTCGATACCCTCCGGTCCACTGATGCCTAAATCCAGAGCCTCTTTAGCACCCTATTAACACACACGCAAACACTTCAGAAGCTCAATTCATCACGTAATTGTTTCTGCAACATTTCAAAACGCACACACAAGTGATGACAGAATCCAAATGTTGGCTCCTAAAATGTGAAAACTAGCTGTCCAGTATGTAAAGAATCCACAATGAATGACAGACACACAACAAGTATTTTTCCTGTGCTGGACATTCAAAGAAGAAACACAGGCATGTGTGGGGGTTGTGTGGTGTGCACCTCTGCCACCAGCTCTCCGTTCTCAGCGTGGACTCGAGCGACGGCCCCGATGTCTTTACAGGTCTGCAGCGTCTGGTAGAGCTCCGAGTCCCTGAGCATCATCGTATCTTTGTAGGCCATGAACATCTGGAAAGAGTTCACTCCGTGCTCCCTCACCAGGGTCTCCATCTCGCTACGCACCTAAACACAGGACAAAGGTCAGGGGTCAAAGGAAGAGGTTTTTTGTTTTTGTAAGTTGCAGCCAGAAAGAGATAATATTGGATTCACATTAGTGAAAATCAGAAGCCCCACAAACAAACACATTCACTCACTCATGGGGGGTGAACAGTGAAACGTATATTTATAAGTGTGAGGTCTGTTAAAAACTGGCAGTTCATAATGTTCAGTAACACGTGAATGAATCATCACGACTAAATATATGCATTGGTTTTAGTCGACATTGCATCAGGGAATTTTGCGAACGTTTTCTGACCTTCAATAGACAAATAATTGATCAGTTGAAGATTAGATTAGGTTACGGTGAGTGATACAAACGGGGAGGTTATTAACAACTAGATTTGCTTATAGATGATAAATGTAGCATATGACCCAGCACATACATTAACGCCAAAGGCTGAATGAGGCATGTTGACTCGTAGAATATGTCTAACGTGCCCACTGAGCATGTGTGCTGACCTACTTCATGTAAGACAGCATTGGCGTCGGCCAGAGCTCGGCAGTTCCCGTAGGCGTCCAGGAGGGAGCAGTGCTGCTCAGGCAGGACCAGCGCCATGACCATGGTGGTACCACCCATCAGAGCCGCCTGGGTGAGGTGAGGAGGGGGAGGCAGGAAGGAGGGAGGCAGAGGAGGAAAGGAAGAGAACAATGATTCCACTGTAAAGGACACATAGTCACTGTGTGTCAGGGTGACAATGAGCAATGGTTCTTCCTCATGAACTGTTTTCTCATCATCACTAAGTCTGCTCGATGCTAGCTCTGTAAATTGTTTCTAGTTTGTTATGCAGATGATGCACAGAGACTGATGTCTTTTTGTACTGGTCTGCAGCAGTAGGCTCATCGACAGAGCCCGGTCCCCCACTGACTGACTATAACATTCCACCGGTCACTCCCCTTCACACTGCACATGTCACTTTAACTGTCATTTATCACTTTGTCGTCACTCGTCACTTTGTTACTTGTTCGCTAGTGCACTTAATATTTTTTTACTTTTTTTTATATTTAACATTTTTAACTTTATTCTCTTGTTTTATACTAACCCATAGCCTTATTCTACTAACCCATTGCATTAGCATTTCATCTTACTTTATTTTATTACTTGTGCACTGCTGTCTTGTTGTCTATTGTCACACTGTCTACTGTCATGCACCATCCGCCAAGACAAATTCCTTGTATGTTTGACATATTTTGGTAATAAATGTTTCCTAATTCCTGATTCCTGATTCGTTCTAACGTATTAGTAATAGTGTAATTATTTGTATGTACCTATACTATGCATTTTTGTGGAGCTCTGCTTCTAATGTCTCCACTACGTGAAATAATCCAAACTGTTTCCACCTTCATAAAGCCATCTTCCTATCTCTATTCTTTCTAGTGACGTGATCAGTTCGAAAGCGTGACTCATTGATTGAACACATTCTGCCTTTCTCACACAGAGGCAGCAGGAGAGTAAGGAGAAAGGCTGGAGTGCAGCAAATAAGTGATAAATGGAAAATAGGGGCCGGGTTCAAAAGTTGCCCTTTCAATACTTAAATCCATGAAGATCTATTTACTGTTAAAATGAATAACCAAAGCAAGAGGGCCCAATTAATGATGTTTCATTGGATAAAGACATTTTTGAGCTTGCAGAAAAAACCCACCAAGGTTTCCTCCGTTATTTTGATTGTCACTTTGTGTCACCGACCTGCAGGGAGTTTGCATGATTCTGGAGGCCTCTGGCTGTGGGGAAGGAGCACGGGTCACTGAGCCAGGACTGGGCCTCGTCTAACCAGCGGGCGGCGCCATGCATAATATCTTCAAACTCTTGAAGGCAGGCGGGGACCTGAAATAGAAAACATAAGGAAGCAGACTGTCGGTTTTATAAACAGACTTTTAAAAGCTGGGATGCAACGAATTTTCAAGATACAAGAGTCAACCAATGCTTCCTGTTAACTCTCATCACCCCTTTCTCTGCATTTAATCAGTTGCTAACAGAACATTCCTGACCTTGCTGAGGAAGGCAGTGCATTGCTCGGTCATGTGCGCTGCGTTTTGATACAGCTGCAGCGGTCGGTTGAGTTGGTCCATCAGTAGGTGGGCTTGATCCGGATGCTCCTGCACCTCGCTGTCCAGCAGCATCAGGCGGCTGTGCCATGCATCCAGCTCATCCCACACAAGCTGGAGGACCGAAAATGTGAAGCATGTCGGGGCAATGAAGCAACAATGTAATCCTGGATTGTCATCGGCTCTGAGGGAAAAGTGGCTGTTTCAGTTGCTCACAGACATGGTTAAGCTGTGTTACACTTTCTACTGAAAAGTCATCTTTTAGACACTAAAAACATTTTGTGTAAGTGCTCGATTATATTGCAAGCTTGCTGGACTTTACTTGTTACTTACAGCCTACATACATGCACATGTTAGCTGATGCAGTCAACTTAACAGATTTAAAATGTGAATAAAAGAGATGAGAAAAAACAAACAAAGAAGACTTTGAGAACTAATTTCAATTTACAACACCTGCAGATCAGCAGGTTTATGGATCATTCACAAACACACACATAGAAGCAAACAGGTCTCACTTTGATCGCATTTTGAGCTTCATTCACTTTTGGACTCCAGTAACACTTTTACTCTCTCTAGGCCATTTAATGCTGTTTTTTTATCCGATACATCGATTAATCAAAGAAATAATCCACTGATTAATCGCTCATGAAAATAATTGTTCATTTTAGCCCTAGAGGTGTGTAATTAAGACACAAACAAATGGCTTTGTGGACATATTACTTATTTCATTTATTATTATTCAAGGCTAAATCAAGCATATCTGAACAAGTGATCTGAGGTACATTTTGAGAATTCTATTTCTGAACAACACAGTCTGACTACAGAGAGGGCATCTGGTGTTTCCCTCAAAGGGAATGTTAATAGAAAATGTCACTGTCTCAAAGTACAAAATGGCCTTCATACAGAATAGTGTAAGAGAGGATTCAGTGTCCATCAGTACCAGAAACGTATTTACTTTATTGGGTACCTCAGATTCGTCTTTGCTTTCTTTTTTTTCCTCAATCAGCTCTAGATAACTAATTCTCTCTTATATCCTGAGAATTGTCATTTATGTCAATAACAGGCCATTGATGCTCAATGTACAGATGAAGAGGACGCTGCATGAAACCCAGCTGGGAAACTGGGTCAGTGTTACATCTGAGTGGTTACACCTCGTATCAATAGAGGCTGTAAATACCTACAAACTCCTCTATTATCAATGTTTTTTCCTCATCCGATTTGATGTGGGATTGTGGTTGACTGATCTGCCCCGTATACAATTCAAAACTTTCCACCACTTTCCTCATGTAGCTGTCAGTCTTAGAACCATTTTGTTAGTAAACTAGTCCCAGTGTGTGATTCAGACCGGAAATATAGAGTCAGTCTGTGGGAGGCCGATGAGCCAGTCGAGTGTCATTTCCGTCATCTGAACACAGGGTGGCGTGGTTTCCCTCGGCAACGTCTCAGCTTCAGTTAGCGGTTCTCAGCAGCCACATGGTCACAGTGGAAGGCACATTCAGCAAGGCTCAGTAGCCAACAGGCACATTATCAGTGTGTGTGTGTGTGTGTGTGTGTGTGTGTGTTAAATCTTGGGCCTCCAGCCCTGTATGAACTGTGTGATCTTGGTGACGTGCAGTCTGCTCAGGTGGAAGTCATGTGACAGGATGTCGCCAGACAGCTGCACCAGGAGGCTGCCGTCGATTCGCTCCCTCTGGAACACGGCCACCGCCGCCTCCGATAGGCCGATGAACCGCAGGCAGGCCGACACCTCCTCCAATGACAGCACGGACAGGTCGGCGGGGGGCCTCCATGTGTGGTCGGGAGACAGGGGCTGCCCTTCAGTGACGCCCGCGGACGTCCCGCCGCCCTCTGCCCCTCTGGAGGAGTCCGTCGTGGGGTTGGCAGCGGGCTCGGGCGAGGGGCAAGGCGACTGACGGTTGAAGGGGTTCAACGCGCCGAAGGGAGCAAATCGACTTTGCGGAGGCCTCAGGCGAGGTCCGGAGGAGGTGAAGGTATCCGCCCATGGCTCCGCCCAGGCCGCCTGCGCTGAATGAGGATTGGCTGTGTTGTCTGTGGGGACGGCGGAGGCTGGCTCGGGACTGGCAGGGTGGGGGGCCGGGCAGTCCGCCCAGGAGCACGGGTAGCAGTAGAGGGAGGCGTCTGGAGAGGGCGAGCAGCTGGGACCAGGCATGATGAAGCAACGTTAGCTCCTGTTATCAGTCAGCGCGGATCGTATACATTATATGAGGTGTAGTTGATGGTGGCTCAGATAGGACTAGTGAAACCATTTTTATAGAGAAAGTCACTACTAGTCCCTGTTGATGAGGATTGATGGGGTGGTTACAATACCCTCAGGGTAATCATACGTATAATTCCACATGTCATAATGATTTGCTGTGTGCAAACCAAACACTACCTGTCCTGAAGTCCAGAGGAGTAGAAGGAGAGGTTGGGTCTCGGGGAGGTGGAGGTTTTGGGGAAGCGAGGGGGGACCGGAGGGCTGGGAACCGGACTGGAGATGGACCCTTCTTTAGAGCAGCGAGGGGGAACCGGAGGGGCAATCAAGTAGCGACACTCCTCTCTCACCTGCACGCAAACACACACACACACACAAACCCAGAAAAATTAGAGCTATGGCAGCAAAAAAAAAGTTAACTACTAAAACTTGACTTCTCAAGAGGCTAAATGTGAGAGTGTGTGTGTGTGTGTCCGCTGGCTCGTCCCATCGTTCTTATCAGTAAATGTCAAACTAGGTGACCTTTACACCTCAAACAAACTCTGTCACACACACACGCACACGCACACACACTACATATACACACAAACTGTGTCTTGGCAAGCTAAATACCAGGGCATCAGGCGTGCTGTGTGTGACAGGGTATAATCCAGCTGCATCGCAGACGTCAACACCCACACGCTGCCTTTCCTTTCAAAGTCAAAGGGAATTAAACCAAACAAAGCCTGATGATTCCTCGTCTACAAACTCATAAACACTGTAAATAACTACAACAAAATGATTGTACTGCCTCTGATGATCTGTGGAGAAACAGAAGAGCCTCCAGTTGAACATGAAAAGAATGGAACAATAAAAAAATTGAAATTTACAGGTTAAACAAGTACCAGAGTAGCAATCTGGCAAAGAAGTTTGTAAATGGATTTGCCCCTTGCAAACACTCACTAAGGGATGTAGGAGAGTAATGTTAGTAACAACTCTGTAAGAAGTAAAAAAAAAAAGAAGTAAAAAGTAATATGTTGTTTATGAAATCCTGAACGTTTCTAAATCATTAAAGTCTTGTTCCAAAAGTTCATAATGGGAAAAAAATGATTTACAGGAAGATTTTACATTTTCAGATCATTTCAAATTGAGCATTTATGCCACCTTACTCAGTTCCACAGTTGAAAAAGGAAATATGTTGAATATCTTAAGGTTTTGAACTGATGCAACCATGTGTCCTGCAGATTTTGTTTCCGTACAACCTAACTGCATTCTCAATTACATTTACAATGATTCCACTTGGATTAGAGTTGCTGTTTTAAACAGTTGAAAAGTAATTCATGTAAAACATGTGGTTGATGTTTTATTTTGTATTTTGTTGGGTTCAGGCAACAGAACTACTTGATTATGTTGGATGGGGAAAAACCGTCATGGTTTTTATTAGGACATTCAAATAAAACAAAAAACAATTTTGTTGTAAGAAAACATTTTAAGAGATTATGCTGTAAGAAACCATCAGAATTTCTCAGTTTGTGCAACATTTATATGAATAATCAACAAATTAATTTAAAATGAAAAGAATCGTGGCCCTAATATTAAACTGTTGCTAATTTGGTCATTCTTAAGACCAAACACTCCATCAGTACGGCCACCATGGGACAGAAACAGCTCCGTGCTATTCATTGAACTCAGACAGCACATGTACTCACCTTCTTGGTGATTTGTACTCATATGTATTCATGAACTGTCAGCACACAGACTCTTCCTTTCCAGGAAGTGGGTGTGTTTGTGTGTGAATGTGGCCGCTGAGGTTTAAAAGCTTTAACGTATGAATAATTCAAACCAGGCATCCTGACTTTTAACAGCCGGATGTTGCCGCGGACGGGCTCAAACTCACAGCTTCTGATTTTGGAGGTACGGGCGGCGGGGTCGACACCCTCGTCACCACGGTGCCAAAAGAACCATCCAACGACGAAGACGAATGAAAGGAGATGAGGTTTGGTTCCTTCCCCAAGCCCTCTGGGTTCTGATTGGTCCAGAGTTCCTCGTAAGGGATTTCCTCACTGGTCCTCATTTCGGCCTCGGTCCACTCGGGAGTCACATACTCCCGCTCTTCACCTGGTACCTCCCCCAGACGCTCTCCCAGAGAGTCCCTGCAGCGCTGCGATAGGCTGTCCGAAATCCCGCCCCCATACCCGCACATGGAAAGGCGCTGCAGTGCCGGCGCCAACGAGTCCTGGCCCGACACGCACAGGCGAGAGCGCCGCGGGCTCACACACTCCTCCGTCATACACTCCAGCTCCGGCCGGGTCTCTCTGACAGCTCGAGAGTAGGCATCCGGGTCGAACGCGTGCCGCAACAGGAGGCTCTCTAGCGCCGCCGTGCGGACGGAGGCCTCGGCCACGTTGAACCGGGGCATGCAGCGCAGGAGCAGGAAGTGGGACGGGGAGACTTCCTGTCGGCGGAGCACCATGCAGAGCACCACCGTCTTGCTGACGATGTTGAGCAGCTTGTAGCGGTGGCCCTCTCGGACCGCATGGCGGTCGTAGGAGTTCCGCGGCGGTCTCAAAGGGACGGACACATTGACGGGCAGGCGGACCCTCTCGATGATGCTGCGCACCGTGTGCTCCCCACCCAGCATGCCTTGCTCCAGTGGGGAGCGTGTGCAAAAGCGACCGCGGCAACCAAAGGGAAGGCTGACACTCTGATTTGTGCGATGGTTCATACAGACCAGGCATGGAGTTTTACCTGAGGAGGCGGAGACAAGGGAGGTGGATTAGAGCCTGAACACAAGCTAAGGTCACATTTGCTCTACGATAAATCCTATTCCTCTCTGCTCAGGCCCTGAATATGAGCATCAATGGTGATGAAAAATGATTACCTTGAATTCATTGCGTCACTGCTTCTATTGACTGGCTGTGCTGAGCTGCAATAATGGAATTAATCTCTGAACTGAAGTGGACTGTATCACTTTTATCAAGAGGGAATCTACTTCTCATT